AATAAATTCAAACAAGCAGTAAATTCCTCTTTCCCTAACAGCAGACAGACTTACAGAGACTTACATTGACTGTGGCTCATCCGGAAGGTCTTTGGAGTTGTGTACTGCAAGGCAGGATTCCAGGCAGGAAAAATTCATTACCTCATTAACACACCAGGTATTCCATCCAACTATTTAGCATAACTTAAGGTGGACCTGCCTTACTAGGGATGATTGTAGAGGTGATTCACCAGTGAGACTGGAAAAGGTGGGTCTTCCAACAGATAGACTAGGGATTTTATAGTCTTGTCCAGTTAGAGTTATGGGGTTTTTTGCTACTCTAACATCAGTAAGTCAGAACTGAAAAAAAAAGATGAGAATTCAACCAGAGGAGAGGTTGGGAACCCCATTCATTAATATGTTGCCAAAATTTGCCTAGGAATTGTAAGACACATTACACGGTGCTTAATAAGTGATGTGTTCAATGAACGAATATTTAAAATTTTATTGGCATTGTTGCTATTGTTGCTATACCTGTCTTTGTAGCCCACAGGGGATTTCGAAGGTCATGCTCTTCCTGGATCCTTCTTGCTTATCCTTGGCCTTTGGTGGAGTTCACTAAGTATTCTGAAGTTTGTCTGCAAACAGAAAAAAGAGACTTTCTACCTTGGTTCCAAAGCATTGATCCATCGAGCAAAATTTTTGGAAGGAATTGTATTAGTCGGCATGGTTATAACTGGTAAGCGGTTTTAACTTCTGTACTGTTTTCTTCTTTTGTGTATTTTCATGTGTACAGAGAGGAATAAATAAGTTAATAAAATTATTCTGTATTCAAATATCTCTCTCGTTTGTTTTTGTTTTTGTTTTTTTTTTTGGTCTTTTTGAGACAGGGTCTCCCTGTAGCTCCAGCTGACCTGGAAGTCACTATGTAGATCAGGTTGGCCTCAAACTCACAAAGATCTGCCCGCCTCTGCCTCCCAAGTGCTGGGACCGCCTGGCTCAAATATCTCTTAATATATAATCTGATCATATATTCTATCTGATATAATTTGTTAAGAAGGTAATACCTCATGTTTATACAAAGGCCATTCCTTAATGAAATACTCATAAAATTTAATTTTCCCACACATCTTGGTGAATTTCCTTTATAAAATTAGTTGGAACATATGAAATAGTCTTGTGTCAGTTGTACTGATCTCTGAAAAATCCAATCCTATCAAAAGTCATTTTGACTGTGGGAAAGCTTCAGTAATAAATCATTGCTGAGGGGCTGGGCAGCAGGTCAGCACTGAGGAAAACCTAGCTTCATGCACTCAGCATATTTTCCTATATTCTGGATTGGAGGTTAGGCCAGATAATTTATAAGGCTTTTCCATTGCCTTTGAGAATCGTTGAAATATTCGATGCTTTTAGAGTTCTTTTGCAACCTCTAGATTATGAAAGATAAAACTTCTTATTTTCCTGTGAAGATTTTTCATGCTTTGTTAATGGCAATAGGTATTTGCTATGGCCTTCAGATTACAGAAGAATCATTTCAGACAAGAGGAATTATTCTGTGAATTTCTATAGGTTAAGGCACTAAACAGTATTCTAACAGAGTAAGTGGTTTATATAGCTGGCTAGATTACATCTATCAGGGCTTCTCAGTTATCCATAGTTGTGGAAAACTGAAACCAGAAGTTTTTATTGGGAACAAAGACAACTCCCTGCCTTGGTTCTGATTCAGTGAAGGACTAGCTAGGAAGGAAATAATCAGACTCTGCCAGACTATTTTGCAAATCCAAACCCACAAATTGTTCAGGATTTCTTTAGACACTAGATTGGAATGGATACTTGAACCAAAATAATTAATATTGAGAATCAATGTCTAAAGAGGACAGTAGATTGAAATGTGCAATGAGAAAATGTTTCTGCATTTTCCTGTGTGCTAGATGACTTATGGAGAAGGTTGCTTATATGTGGTATGTTCTACAGGCATATCTGGCTTACAGATTTTTGCTGACAGCTCAGAAATCCAGTTCTTGAGAATTCTGCGTTTGCATCATATAACCATATATATCTTCTTTGGGCTACTGGGTGTGGCCAACATCTTATGTGCTACCATTAGTTCACTTCCAGCCTCCTTGATCAAGTTGATGTTGTCAAATGCCTTCTTTGTGCAAAGTAAGTATGAACAAATACTTCTTCTGGGCATTTCTTATTAGATATTTTTGTGGCCTTTTATAATAAGGTACTTTTTTTGAAACTCATTACGTTTTCTTTTTTATTTGTTTTTTAATTTTTTAATACTTTTAAAATTGAATGGTTATGATTTTCATACAATATAATATGATGACATTTAGATTCCCTCCCCTATCTGCACTCCCCCAATAAGGTACCTTTGATGTCATGGTGTAGCCTTGTCTGATGGGGCCATGTCTGTCTGAGCTATAGTAAGATATTTGGGCATCCTAGACAGAATGCCAAAGATCTTCCTTCCTTACTGACTTACTTAATATGACTGGACAAGCAGAACCATTCAGTATGCATTATTAATGTTTTCACTCTGTCTTAAAGACTCACAGTGGCCACTTATTGCTTGGTTGTTTGGGGGATTTTCATTATTTCCATTTTCAACAATGAAATTGAGTTGAGTAACAAGGGTTGAAATGGGGCGACAATTAACAACAGGATAGATTCTATCATCTATTGACTAACTTTAAAAATATTGATACAGTAAAACTCTGCCAGAATGTGATTAGTAACAACCAAATATTATATAAAACTATAAAATCTAAATTTTGAGAAATCAGTGAAAAAGAGTATGTTCTGTTCAACTTGTTTCACATCTTATTGTAGAAGAAATGAAAGCAAGTGTTTTATGTTCTGTTTTCATTTCTCATGCATGCATTGATCATGGCCCCAAATGATCAGGAGACGGCCTCTTCTTTCCTCTTCCCCTTGCCTCCTACATCTGATAAAAGAACCTTCTCCTACATCTAATTGAGAACAGGAGCTGGATAAAAGACAAGTTCTAACCACCGACAGCATCACTCTATTCTCTCAAGATGTTGTTGTATGTTGCACTATCTTTTCATTTTTATAAAAAGATTTATTTGGGGCTAAAGAGATGACTCAGTGGTCAGGAGCACTGGCTACTCTTGCAGAGGACCTGGGTTTGGTTTCCAGCACCCACATGGTAGGTGCTTAACAACAGTTCGTAACTCCAGTTCCAGGGGATCCAACACATTGTATGGTCTCCTTAGGCATTGTATGACATGAGTGCACTTACATGCATGCAGATAAAATATTCATAGACATGAAATTAAAATAAATAAATAAATAAAATTTGAGACAGGGTTTTCCTATAGCCTTAGCTGACCTGGAACTCACTATGTAGACCAGGCTGACCTCAGTCTCACAGAGATCCATCTGCCTCTGCATCCCAGGTGCTGGGATTAAAGGCATGCACCACCACACCCTTCCAAAAAGTTTTTAAAAGATTTATCTAATTTTTTGTGCTGTGTGTGTGCATATTTGCAGAGGCCAGAAGAGAGCATAAGATCCTCTGGAACTGGAGTAATAGCTACTGTGACCCATCAGTCGTGAGTGCTGGAAACCCAGTTCAGATCATCTGGAAGAGCAGCACTCTTAACCACTGAGCTGTTTCTTCAGTCCCATCTTTTTTCTCTAAATGAAATGTTTTCAATGGATTTGGACTCTATTCTTGAACTAAAACAATACAGTTTTGTAGTGCATCTTGGGCACTTCCGATAGTATTGCCATGTTTACCAAGATCCATTGTTATGATTTGTATTTGCTTACTTCCTCCAATGGACTGACTCTCTTGAAGTTAGGCTTCAGCTTCCTCCAATGCACCTGTATATTCACACTAATTATAGATTCCCAGACTCATCATGCTTATTATTCATCAGTCCACATAGAGAATTCTTTGAAATAAGATTAGTTTAGGATGCCATGGTATGTTACAGGAGAGAATAAATCTTAGAGAACAAGAAAGGAGGGTTATAATTCTAACATTCAATTTTGAAGATGCAGTGATAACATCATGTACTACTATGTAATTCAGTGGGGACCTGTTTCTTTGGGCAATTGTGTATGTGCATAGATGTGAATAGAGAAAGGGCGAGCATCAAGTTGTGGATAGCTTTGGTTCCATTGAAAAACCATTTTTCTCTTTTTATTAGCTTTTATCTTTTATAACCACACTCATGGCCGGGACACAGTGGACATTTTTCTGCACAAACTGTTGGGCTTAGCTGCCTTTTTAGCAGGCCTGGTTTCCTTCATGGAGGTCCTCACAAAAAATAATGCAATTCTGGAGCTCCTGCGATCAAGTCTCATCATCCTACAGGGGAGCTGGCTATGGCAGGTGAGTTGGGACCTCAGTGTCCATGGTGTTGCCACATATCTTCTCTCTAATTTGCTTGAGCACGCCGCTCTGCATCTCGGAAACATCCTCGGACGTGCCCTCTGCAATGATAATGTGGATCTTTTTTTTTTTTTTTTAGTTCTAAGAATGTGTTAATTTATTAAAAGTATTTAAAATATATTATAGAGCCAGGTGTGGTGGCAAACAGCTTTAATCCCAACACTCCAGAGGCAGAGACTGAGGCCAGTGAGTTCCAGGCCAGCTGTGGCTATAGGGAGACCTTGTCTCATAATTTTTTATTGAATTTTTGTGTATTTCATACATAAAATCATCTTTATACCCCCTTCTCCCTTCCCCTTTGGCACCTTCCCATACCCCCCACCATACACACATTGGAGTTCATACATTCTATCATTTGTATTAATGTCTATTATGTAAAGTTAGTGTCCTGAGATGTCCCTCAGTGCAAATTCATCCACTGGGGTTTAGTCAGGCTAAAAAGAGTCTCTCCCTTCATGAGGATCAGCTCTTCCTCATCCAGAAGTAATCAGTTGCCAATAATTCTTCAACTAAGATTGGGTCTTGCTGTTATTTCCACTGTTCTGTGCTGGGTTTTTGTCTGCCTAAGTTTACATGAGTCTTGTGCCTGCTGACATCATTGCTGTAGGTTTGTATGACAAGGGTCCAGGGGCCTGTAGGAATATTTCCATATGGTCATGCACCTCCTCCCTTACTCTTACAATCTTTCCACCCCCTGTTCCACAATGGGCCCTGAGCCCTGGGGTAGGTGGACCTCAATATAGTAGTCCTGTCCAAGGACCCACACTCTGCCTTCTCTTACTCTCTGCATTTTGGCCATTTGTGGCCCTTTGTATTCCTGGCCCTCTGTTGCATGAGGGAGCTTCATTGATGAGAACTGAAAGATGCATTAGTGTTCTCTTCATTCCTAAGTTCCATGAGTCTTAGGTATAGAGGTTGCATCTTAGATGTGCCACCTAGGCTTGGCAATTCACAGAGAATCTCTGTGTATAACCAGTGCTGTAGCTCTGTAATAATCTCTGTTGAAAAAGAAGCTACTTTGATGTGTGGTGACTGGGATATTTGTCTGTAAATTTAAGGATCCATATTTTGCACATAGTAAGAAATTACATTTATCAGGCCAAGCATGGTGGCACATGACTTTTATCCCAGCACTTGGGAGGCAGAGGCAGGCAGATCTCTGTGAGTTCAAGGCCAGCCTGGTCTAGAAGACAGAAAAAAAGAAGAAAAAAAGAAATTAAAGAAATTACATTTGTCTAGGGATATGAGAGCCTTGGGTTTTCTCTAAGATCTATGACCTCTCCAGCTATGTGTATTTGGCTAGGTTTACAGTACCAGACATAAGTTTCCTCCCATTGAATGGGCTTTAAGTCCAGTTAGGTAGCTGTTGATTACCCTTGAAGCTAGGATTGGATCATTGATTGATGGTCTCCTCAGCTTGCCTAGTGCTTTCCAAAGCTATGAGAGGTAGCCTTCAGGGGAGGTGACTTCCAGGTCAGTTTCAGCTCAATTTCTCCAAATCCTGTGTCCAAAGTAAGTCCTGTCTTCAGCAATGGGGTCATGCCATCAAGTTCTGGGAGGCAATCAAGGACTGTGGCAATAACCTGTGTAATTCTGGGAGTCTCTTGGACGGCCAACAACTCAAGGGAAGGTTTCTCTTATCTGGCACTATTTCTTGTTATGTAGTCTTCAGCTATATTCATGGACTCATTTAGGGATATTTGTATGTGCAATTTTTCAGTAGGTTTTTGGACTAATATGATTTCCCCTGGTTTTTCATATTGGCCAGGCACTATTTATATCTCCTCTTTCTCTTCCTGGCTTATCCTCTGGAAAATGTTCAGTGCTCCTGGAGAGGGTATTGTCAGGAGGAGCTGGGAGGAAATTATGATGGATTACATTTATTGATTTATGTATGTAAAACCATCCCTGCATCTCTGGGATGATGTCAACTTGATCATGGTAGATGATCTTTTTGATGTTTTTGCATTTGGCTTACAAGTAGTTTATTGAGAATTTTTACATTTATGTTCAGAGAAATTGACTTATAAGCTTCCTTTATTGTTGAGTCTGTCTAATTTTTGTATCATGGCAATACTGGCCTTATAAAAGAATTTGGAAGTATTCCATCCTTTACTATTTTCCAGAATAATGAGAGATATGGATGTTAGTTCTCCTTCGGCATTCTGGTAGAATTGTATACTGTCCCCATCTTGTCCTGGATTCTCTTTAGTTGGCAGATTTTTAATTTGTGCCTCTGCCTCTTTGGTTGTTAAGGGTTTATTTAAACTGTTTACTTCATCTTGATTGGATTTTGGCAGGTCACATATATATACAAATCCATTGATTTCTTTTAGATTTTCCAGTTTAGTGGAATATAGTTTTGTTTTGTTTTTTTTGTCTTTTTGAGACAGGGTCTCCCTGTAGTCCCAGCTGACCTGAACTCACTATGTAGACCAGGCTGGCCTTGAACTCACAGCGATCTGCCTGCCTCTGCCTCCTGAGTGCTGGGATTAAAGGCATGTGCCACCGTGCCCGGCTGTGGAATATAGATTTTTAAAGTATGTCCTTATGACTCTCTAAATTTCTTCAGTGTTTTTTGTAATGTTTTACTTTTTATCTCTGATTTTATTAATTTGGCTAAATTTTGTTAATTTTTCATGATAGTTAATCTTTTCAAAGAATCAGCTCTTAATTTCATTGATTCTTTGTTTTTTTGTTTCTATTTTATTAATTTAAGCCCGATTTTGATTATCCCTTCATGTATATTCTTTTTGAGTGTTGCTTGTTTCTGTTTTTCCAAGACCTTCAGGTGCCTCATTAAGTTATTAATATGAGATCTTTCCAGTTTTTTTTTTTTGATGTAGGCACTTAGTGCTGTAAACTTTTCTTTTAGGATTGCTTCCATTATATCCCATAGATTTTGGTGTGCTGTGATTTCATTTTTATTCAATCCTAGGAATTTTTAATTTCTCATCTTGATTTTTACCTTAATAAATTTTTCAGTTGTGTATTTAGTTTCCATGAATTGTGTATCTTTTCCCATTTCTGTTGTTGTTGATATCCTGAATTATTCCTTTGTGGTCAGTTAGAAGACATAATACTATTTCAACCTTCCTAAATTTGTTGAGATTTGCTTTGTTTCTTAATATGTGGTCAATTTTGGAGAAAGTTCCATGGGCTGCTGAGAAAACAGTGCATTCTTTAGTGTTTGAGTAGAATGGTCTGTTAGTGTCTGCTAGATGAATTTGAATTATGGTGTCATTTAACTCCAGAGTTTCTCTATTTTGTTTTTGTCTGATTTGTCTATTGGAGAGAATGAGTTCTAAAATCAACCACTGTCACTGTGCTGAGGTTAATCTGTGGTTTTAGATCCCATAGTGCTTCTTTTATGAAATTGGATGACTTTATGTTTAGTTCATATGTGTTTAAGGTTATAATATTCTCTTGTTGGATTTTTCCTCTAATCGCTATGAAGTGTCCTTCCTTATTTCTTCTCTCTGACTAGCTTTGGTTTGAGGTCTATTTTTTCAGATTTTAAAATAGCTATGCCTGCTTGTTTCTGGGTTCCATTTGCTTTAAATACCTTTCTTCCCATCCTTTTGCCCTAAGATGGTGCCTATCCTTGATGGTGAAGTGTGTTTCTTAGAGGCAGTGAAAAGATGTATCATGTTTTATAATCTAATCTGCTGGTCTATGTCTTTATTTGGGAACTGAAACCATTAATATTGAGAGTTATTATTGACCAACGTTTACTAAGTCCTGTTATTTTGTTTTTATGGTGTTTTCTTAGACTTCTTTTGGTTAACTTCTGTTATTCCTTGTGCCCTTGGGTATGTTTAATCTTTTCAGACAGAAGTATTCCTTCTAATATCCTTTGTAGAGCTGACTTCATGAAAATTAATTCCTGAAGTCTGTTTTTATCATACAAAAATTTTCTTTCTCCGTGGCTAGCAACTGATAGATAGTTTTGTTGGCTGTTATTAATCTAGTTTGGCATCTGTGTTCTTTTTTGACTTGTAGGGCATCAGTCAAGTCCTCTGGCTTTCATCGTCTCCATTTAAAAAATTCATCAGTTATTCTGACAGGCCTGCCTTTATATATGTGATTTGATCTTTCTCTTTCATGACTTTCAACATCTTTGTTTGGTTCTGTACATGTAGTGCTTTGACTATTATATGACATGGGGATTTTATTTTCTGGGCCTGCCTATTTGTTGTTTTGTATGCGCCTTGATACATATCTCTTTCCTTAGATTTGGGATATTTTTTTTCTGATTTTGTTGAAAATGTTTTCTGTGCCTTTGATTTCTTGATTTCTTCTCTTTCTATTTCTATGATGTGTAGGTTTGATTTTTTTTTGTAGTGTTCCCAAGTTCCTGTATGTTGAGTTATTTTAGATTTAAGAGTTTCTTTGAATGCTTATTTTCTTCTACTTTGTTTTGGAGCTCTGATATTCTAGCCAGCCTAATTGAATTGATGAGGTTCAAGTTTGGTTGGAGACATAAAAAATAAAAATAGAGAGCAATCTAGGAAAGGTCTCAGGGTCACCATTAACATGTACATATCACATGCCATACACATGCACAACACCATAAATATGTGCAAAATATAATTAAAGAAAGGGAAAAATGTTTTAAAAAGCTAACTGTAGTCAAACAAAATTAACAAAACCAGAGAAAAGACACTTTTTCATGAGTTAGTTGTGGAACAGAAATGTGTAGCACAATCTAGCTGAGCTGCAGCCTGGCAGGCCTACATCACCGAAGACAGACAGTGGGGGAGAGTTTCTGGGAACACAGTCAAGCCTGTGCATTCTTTGTCTTGTTCGTATTTCTGTTCCATGTTCCTCACTGTTTTCCATTTGACTGATCTCCACTTCCTAACTGAAGTCTGTGAACCCTCAGATCATCTCAAAGGATTTGTTGATTTCTCCTCTGAACCTTTTCCTTTGTCATGAAG